TTGGAGCCGTTTGGATTTTATTGTGAATTTCGTGGCTGTTGGCGGTTGACGTCCAGACTTGAAAATGCTTTGACCATGCATCGACTACCCCGAGGCCTTGTATCCAGTCTCCTGAGGCTTCTGTGAAGATTCTTTTTTTAAGAGAGCACCTGCGTGTCTTCAACGGACACGTGTAATGGAGGGCACTAAGCTACTGTATGATTTTTGTCTCAAATTCGAATGACACGGTCAGCGTTTTAACCACTCTAATGTATTTCTTCCCCAAGCCGGCGCACATCCACAAATTGTACGTCTCTCGGCAGTTTTGGTGACCAATCGAAGTTGTATGAAATCGTAGTATTTACGCAAAAGTGATTGTTTGTATAATGGAACAGCAGTACTAATTATTTAAGATGTCTTGCAGAATGGCACCGATGTGGATGTTATATTTCGTTGGGTCATAGCCTACCTGTCAATATAGAACTTTAATGACGAACACCCACACCCTAACCTCGGGATTGGAAATCCAGTAATGGGACATCAGGACGAGCAAATGGTGCATTTTGTGAGAAAATGGTTGAGGACATTTATTTAAAACTTATCGTAGTACAATGTTTACAGGGAAATTGTAATATTTCGAATTAGAGCTGTTATACAAGCAACAAATGGGGTAGATTTTTTTTTCTTTTTGCAGTCCCAACATTTCAAAATCCGCGTTCCGTTATACACATTGCAAGCGCCCCCTTCCCCCGCTCCCCTCCAGCCCCCATTGGTCAATTGAGCTGGAAATATCATTGCCCAAACACGCATGGCACGTGAGCTATGGGTGCAGCGGGAAGGGTCGACAACTCAAATGGATTCGTGCAACATGTGATCGTGCACAATGGAACATTCATATCTGTACGATTCAAATTTATTGTGCCCACTTAACTAGTGTATAATGAGAATATAATTATCACCTGGCAAACTGTAAATGCTACATTAGCCAAGGGCTGCGCGCGTGTGTTTCCTCCGGCCTGCCTGGGCATTTGTAAAGTGATGGGATCAAGGAGATTATTTAACAAAAATGATTGTCCCTCGCCGAGTACCGTGATGGTGGCACGCTCGTGTGTAATTTGCATGCTTGGGAGCTGATTTTTTTTTTCTCCATTGGCCCCATGGCACAAATTTTTTTCCTGCAGTGCTACTTTGCATAGATTGTTTACATTTTTATTATGCAAATGCTTCATCCAAAGTCCAGCTTGCTGTTTGACCCTCTCTTTTTCATCGCCCAACCTCCCTCCAGCACACGCGCATCCGCCAATGTTGTCCGTGCTGCCGTTGCACCGATGAGATGTGCAGCAACGTTGGCCAGCGTAAACCTTACAGTGTAATCGGGCAACAACTCCACGTGGACGCTCCACGTGATGAAGGTGCACTCACTGTCCTCCGCTCCCCCCAGACTGAACTTTCGTGCACAATCCGCAGTACAAGTCCACACGTGTGCAATATTTGGAACGTGTACTGTATTGTGGAAGGTACACATTTCTAGCGCGCTCTAATATTGGCCCGAGGTGTTCCCCCTTAAAACAATAAACTGCGATATTTTTGTTTTAATTTTCACCGGTTTCCACTAAATTGTGCGGTCGCGTATTATTATGCATTCTGAGTTTTAACGATTTTAAGAGCACACGATGTAGATTGAGGGCCGTGCCGTGTTGTGAAATATTGTAACGGTGTACTAAATGTAAATGTTTGGTGTGGCTTTCCAGTTTTTTGGCATGTACAGAACAGCACACCGTCTCCCTTTTCCACACGCGCTCAACGCCCCGTTTGTAAATAAGGTCCGATAGGTGTGTATGTATTTGTACATTAATTGTGTCCATTATGTGCCTAACTGTCCTCACAGTGGTTCGGGGAGGGCGGGGGGTTCTTTCCAATTGCTTCAGTCAGCCCATCCTCAATCGAGTCTGACGATTATCACGGCGTTTTTAAAATAATAATACAAAAAACAATTACAAATAGCACTTTGCCTTTTTATTTTACACTAGATTGTACAGGATGTTGAAGTTAAAAAAGACTGGACGTGTACACATACTAAAACTAAATAAAGGGTATCTTTTAAATCAACGCGGTTGTCCGGTTTTGCGGTCTTTATCGAAGAGTTTGGTGGGTTTCGTCTTCAAGGCGGTGACATGGCACAGCAGTGTTCGGCGTGTTTGCTGCATGCTTACAGGATCGCCGTGGTTAACACTCATGCCACATGCTCTTGCTAGCCGGTCGAGAGGCCAAATGGCACTCTACTACCACGCTGGGCCTATCTGTGTGTGCTGCGAAGATGGCCTATTGCCTGAAACGTCGCCTATCACTGTGCATTCTTCTTTAAGGCCACAGTGTTGACATTTTACTGGTAGGAACTTCTGGTTACACCAGCCCACAGGGGATTATTGTGTCCGTCCGTCGTGCATCCAAAAATGGGAGGGGTGAGGCTGGTCACCCCGTGGTGCCCTTATAAAACTCAACGTTTCACCTACTCACGCCGGCTTGTGCCCGCCCTCACAGTCGGGCATATTTGCGGAATACACCACGTGGTGCCGCCGTTGTTGACCCTGGCCATTGACCGAGCACCCCGACGTTCCTACCAGCTCCCTCCGCAGGAATGTGTTAAATCGGTATCTTGTAGTTCCATCACCGCCCACTGGAGGGCAGCTCTCACACGTGGTGTGTGTGTGCGTGCGTGCAGTCCCCCCGTGGCTTTGAGCTGCCTGCTCCGTTTAGCGAACAATCCACCAAAGGAATTTAATCGGAGAGGTTAATTTCAAACAAGGCTCATTCCTCTGCAGGGTGAAACATGCTTCATAAGCTTTTCTTGGAATCGAGTGCGGTGTGTGGTCCGTGTGACGAGATTGCATAGTGATGATATCGTTCTTAATAAGGGTTTTTTTTTGGTTTAGATCGCGATCTAAACCAAAAAAAAACTGTTATGGATATTGGTCGCGAAAGCCTACGTGTTAAAATGATATCGTTCTGTTGCGCTTGTGTATTGGTTTTACCCAGGTTTTCCTTTGAAAGAAACTTTAATCTTAACGAGATGTTACCTGGTGATAAAGCTCTATACAACACCACGCTTGTTTGGCTGTCTGTCTGTCACGCACCGGGATGACGTCACGCTATTTTGGGGTCAGGTGGAGAATGGTGTTATGACGTCAGAGACACTGGGGTTTTCAGGAGAGGAGAAATGACGTCAGCGAGATTGGGGCGAGGTTGTGAAGGGGAGTAATGACGTCACGAGACGCGGTGGGAGCGAAAGGCGGTGATGGCGTCATGAGACGCTGGGGAGGGTGATGACGTCACGAGACGCTGGGGAGGTGAAAGGGATGATGACGTCACGCGACGATGGGGAGGTGAACAGAGGGGTGACGACGTCGAGACGCTGGGAGGTGAAAAAGGTGATGACGTCACGAGACGCTGGTGAGGGGTGACGACGTCACGAGACGCTGGGGAGGTGAGCAGAGGGGTGACGTCACGAGACGTAAGATGAGAATGGATGATGACGTCACGAGACGCTGGGGAGATTAGAATGGTGATGACGTCACGAGACACTGGGGAGGTGAGCAGAGGGGTGATGACGTCCTGCTCTTTCTGCGAAAATATAATCTTTATTTATAATTTTTATTTCGAGCGGTGATTCTGAACCTGGGGGTGCGAGATGCCTTTTCTGAGAACCAAAGCGGTGCCAGGCTGCAAGTTAAAAATAAATAAACTGAAAACTGAAGTGAATGCGTCTGGCATTTTAAAGTGCTACTGTGATATCGTGTATAAATCAGCCCAAAGTACTGTACTGAAGAAGCTTGATTCCATCTATCACTCGGCCTTAAGATTTACATTGAACTGCCCATATAGGACTCACCACTGTGATCTCTACATTGGGTCAAACTTAACGTCTCTTAATGTTCGACGGCTTGTGCACCATGTACTTACAAAAAAAATCCGCAGACTACCTACTGGATCTCCTCTCTGTTTTAAAGAACAAATTTGACCTCAGGTCTTCGCTCATTTACCAGCTTCACATTCCCTATTGCCGTACAAAAACCGGAGGAAGGACCTTTGCTATTGATGCCCCCAGGGTCTGGAATGCTGTTGCCAATAAACTGCAACTTGAATCGCTACCAATGAGATATTCTCTCAAAACTGCTCTAGAGGAGTTGTACACCCCTAGCTGCCACTGCTATTCAGTGGCCTAAAATAAAATAACATTTCGATTTAAATATGTAAACCCCTTTGTCAAGGTGCCTCTCTTCCCTCAACCAGCTTAAAAGACGCTATGAATCTTAGCAGCGTTCATTAAAGCCCTGTCGTCTCGACAGTTTTTTGTTCCTTTACCTGAAGAAGGCCACTTGTATTGTGGCCGAAACGTCGTGAGAATTTCATTGTTTTATTTTATTATTTTATTCTCATTGTACGTGACTTTACCGAAAGAACCAAAGAAGATAACATAAAATGTTTCGCTCCGGATGACGCTCCAAAGTATTATATGTATTTTGATTTAGCGTGTTGATCTTAAAGGTGTATTGAAAAATTTGATACTCCGACTGATGCTTCTGTTGTTGTGGAGTAACTCATGCAGTCAGCTATGGCTCTAGGGTTTGGTGTTACATGTTATTTATGTAGTTTATTGTAGAAATTCTGTCACAGTCCCTGTGATCACTGTTACGTTGCAATTATGGCTTTATTTTTTGGTGATTTTCGAAACCGTTTTTTGGTTTGGACATGTTTGTTTTGTTGTAGTACGGAGTTAGACTGATGGCCTTAATCTAAGTTTTCTTGTGGTTGTTGTTGTTATTTGACTTGCATCCCACTGGGATGTTTTGTACACAGCGTTGGTGTACGGTGCTTTTTTCAGGAATATTTTCCTGTTTTTTTCCCATGGATTTTCTGTTTGCACAGTCAGTCACTTTAAGGTGTTTTCTTGTTCGTGTTTTGTTTGTTTGTTGTGGTTGCACCCGATTCAAGAGCCGAATGGCTCACAGGGCTATACCAAAATAAATAAATTGAAACTGAAAGGTTTAAGAACCACTGATTTAGATGATGAAGCTCCTTTTTCACAGATTTCCAGTCGTACTCTCACCTCTTCGAAGACACCAGGACAGATTGCAAGAGTAGCCCAAGTACTCTTTGTCTCTCTCTCTCGAGAAAGAGAGACATGTGTGTGCCCGAGCGCTCCCTCTAGTGGAGGAAGCCCCTTCCACCGAGCAGCGACGTGAGAGCGAAATTGCCTGGCTGCGCATTTCCCTTTAATACATTCGACTCCAGAGCGGCGTAATCGATACAAATTTGAATCGAAAATCGATTTCGACTCTTATCTCGTGCGTGGGGCATAGGGTGGCCCTCACGAATCGATTCTACAGGTAGGAAGGGAATCAAGTGACATCGATTCCTGCAACCACATTCGCTCCGGGAGTCGTGCAGTGAACCAACCTGCACGCAGCACCATGACCGCGTCTAAACTCAACAGCCCTGTTGACGACTCCGTCGAGGCTGTGTTGTTATGTGTGCACCACCGCTAACGCGGCACCAAGCAGCAGCAGCAGATCCGCGCCTCACGTTGTGAAACATCAAAATTGCGTGGAATCGAATCAACACGCGTTGTTATCGCGCTCTCTCTCGAATCGATTCCTCAACACATGGCGGCCACGCTTCCCACGGCGTGCGCGCGGTCGCGCGATCCCCGAAGACCCCGGCCGGCGGGGTCTTCGGGGATCGCGGCTTCGGGGATCGCGGCTTCGGGGATCGCGGCTTCGGGGATCGCGGCTTCGGGGATCGCGGCTTCGGGGATCGCGGCTTTCGCGGAAGGGTTGCGGCTGTCGGGGGCCCCGGGCTTCGCGGGCGCCGTGGGGCTCGCCCGGGTCCCCGACTCGGGCCTGGTGAGCGAGAGCTGCGTGCGGCACCTGGCGCTGTTCCCGCGCCACCTGGGCCGACTGCGCAGCGGCATCGGGGAGCAGCTGGGCGCAGAGCTGCTGCGGTACTCGGAAAGGTGAGCGGGGGGGGGGGGGGGTGGTGGTGAGGGGGGGGGGTGAGGGGGTGAGGGGTGAGTAGTGAGTGAGGGGTGAGGAGAGAGTGAGGGGTGAGGAGAGAGTGAGGGGTGAGGAGAGAGTGAGGGGTGAGGAGAGAGTGAGGGGTGAGGAGAGAGTGAGGGGTGAGGAGAGAGTGAGGGGTGAGGAGAGAGTGAGGGGTGAGGAGAGAGTGAGGGGTGAGGAGAGAGTGAGGGGTGAGGAGAGAGTGAGGGGTGAGGAGAGAGTGAGGGGTGAGGAGAGAGTGAGGGGTGAGGAGAGAGTGAGGGGTGAGGAGAGAGTGAGGGGTGAGGAGAGAGTGAGGGGTGAGGAGAGAGTGAGGGGTGAGGAGAGAGTGAGGGGTGAGGAGAGAGTGAGGGGTGAGGAGAGAGTGAGGGGTGAGGAGAGAGTGAGGGGTGAGGAGAGAGTGAGGGGTGAGGAGAGAGTGAGGGGTGAGGAGAGAGTGAGGGGTGAGGAGAGAGTGAGGGGTGAGGAGAGAGTGAGGGGTGAGGAGAGAGTGAGGGGTGAGGAGAGAGTGAGGGGTGAGGAGAGAGTGAGGGGTGAGGAGAGAGTGAGGGGTGAGGAGAGAGTGAGGGGTGAGGAGAGAGTGAGGGGTGAGGAGAGAGTGAGGGGTGAGGAGAGAGTGAGGGGTGAGGAGAGAGTGAGGGGTGAGGAGAGAGTGAGGGGTGAGGAGAGAGTGAGGGGTGAGGAGAGAGTGAGGGGTGAGGAGAGAGTGAGGGGTGAGGAGAGAGTGAGGGGTGAGGAGAGAGTGAGGGGTGAGGAGAGAGTGAGGGGTGAGGAGAGAGTGAGGGGTGAGGAGAGAGTGAGGGGTGAGGAGAGAGTGAGGGGTGAGGAGAGAGTGAGGGGTGAGGAGAGAGTGAGGGGTGAGGAGAGAGTGAGGGGTGAGGAGAGAGTGAGGGGTGAGGAGAGAGTGAGGGGTGAGGAGAGAGTGAGGGGTGAGGAGAGAGTGAGTGGTGAGTAGTGAGTGAGAGGTGAGTAGTGAGTGAGTAATGAGTGAGTGGTGAGTAGTGAGTAGTGAGTGAGTGGTGAGTAGTGAGTGAGTAGTGAGTGAGAGGTGAGTAGTGAGTGAGTAATGAGTGAGTGGTGAGTAGTGAGTAGTGAGTGAGTGGTGAGTAGTGAGTGAGTAGTGAGTGAGTGGTGAGTAGTGAGTGAGGGGTGAGGAGAGAGTGAGGGGTGAGTAGTGAGTGAGGGGTGAGTAGTGAGTGAGGGGTGAGTAGTGAGTGAGTGGTGAGTAGTGAGCGAGTGGTGAGTAGTGGGTGAGTAGTGAGTGAGGGGTGAGTAGTGAGAGGTGAGTGAGGGGTGAGTAGTGAGTGAGGGGTGAGGAGAGAGTGAGGGGTGAGGAGAGAGTGGGGGGTGAGTAGTGAGTGAGGGGTGAGTAGTGAGTGAGGGGTGAGGAGAGAGTGAGGGGTGAGGAGAGAGTGGGGGGTGAGTAGAGAGTGAGGGGTGAGTAGTGAGTGAGGGGTGAGTAGTGAGTGAGGGGTGAGTAGTGAGTGAGGGGTGAGTAGTGAGTGAGGGGTGAGTAGTGAGTGAGGGGTGAGTAGTGAGTGAGGGGTGAGTAGTGAGTGAGGGGTGAGTAGTGAGTGAGAGGTGACGTGTGAGGGGTGACATGTGAGGGGTGAGTAGTGAGTGAGGGGTGAGTAGTGAGTGAGGGGTGAGTAGTGAGAGGTGAGTAGTGAGAGGTGAGTAGTGAGTAGTGAGTGAGGGGTGAGTAGTGAGTGAGGGGTGAGTGAGGGGTGAGTAGTGAGAGGTGACGTGTGAGGGGTGACGTGTGAGGGGTGAGGGGTGAGTAGTGAGAGGTGAGTAGTGAGTAGTGAGTGAGGGGTGAGTAGTGAGTGAGGGGTGAGTAGTGAGAAGTGATGTGTGAGGGGTGAGTAGTGAGGGGTGAGTAGTGAGACGTGAGTAGTGAGTGAGGGGTGAGTAGTGAGAGGTGACGTGTGAGGGGTGAGTAGTGAGTGAGGGGTGAGTAGTGAGTGAGGGGTGAGTAGTGAGGGGTGAGTAGTGAGGGAGGGGTGAGTAGTGAGTGAGGGGTGAGTAGTGAGTGAGGGGTGAATGAGGGGTGAGGGGTGAGTGAGGGGTGAGTAGTGAGTAGTGAGGGGTGAGTAGTGAGTGAGGGGTGAGTAGTGAGTGAGGGGTGAGTAGTGAGTGAGGGGTGAGTAGTGAGGGGTGAGTAGTGAGTAAGGGGTGAGTAGTGAGGGAGGGGTGAGTAGTGAGTGAGGGGTGAAGGAAGAGTGAGGAGTGAGTGCAATGAGGCGGTGAGTAATGGGTAATACTTGAGTGAGTGTTGAAGGAAGAGTGACGTGCGAGAGGTGAATGAGTTGGGGGGTGAAGTAAGAGTGAGTGATGGGTGGTGTGTGAGGGGTGAAGGAAGAGTGGGTGAAGAGTGCGTGGTCAGGAGGGAGTGAGTGGTGGGGGAGTTAGTGAGGGGTGAGCAGGGGGGGGGTGATGAAGGGCGAGGGGGAATGAGTGGTTAGGAGAGAATGAGGGATGGGGCAAAAGGAGTGAGGGTGATGGGTGAGTGAGGGCGGAGTGGGTTGAGGAGAGAGGAGAGAGTGAAATGTGAATTGGAATGAGCGGTGAGAAAGTGACGAGTGGGTGAGGGAGGGGTGAGGAGTGGGTGAGGGAAATATGAATAGTGAGAGTAAGGGACGTTGTGAATCATGTGGAAGATCCTTTGTCCAATCCACTGCTGGATGAAAGCTTCACCCGGTTGGTGATGGAGGTCAACCATGCTTCGCCTCGCTGGTCAATGTTGGTTTGTGAATTGGCTGGCACACAGGACCAGTTCAGATATCACTGACATCTGTGGCCGGGAATCGAACTCAGCTGGCCGAGTTCGTAGCTCTCATTGCGCCAACCACTGCACGGCCGCTCCATATTGCACATCTGTGAAAAAGAGCTTTGTAGCTCCTCGGATTCCTCCTCCTGCAGTCTAAACAGAGATTCTTATTGCGAGCATTTGCACATAAAAAGGGCCGTGCCCATTCCCAATATTGAGTTGTGACTCTCAGCTCCGCTCCTCCAGCCTCAAGGGGGTTCCTCTCGCCTACGACAACATCAAGCTCCTCAGCGGTCTCGGCGACCTCATCGATGATCAGGGATACATCCACATGGACGTCCAAGCGGACTTTGTGATCTTCCGCCCCAATCCAGGGGACATCATCAAGGTGCGCCCCGTAACAATCGTGTGTGCGCGAGAGATCCGTGTACGCCGGATCAAATCAAGTGCGGGAGCGTATCCCAAGCAGTCCACCTGGGTCAATTAGAATTGCAATTATTCAGAATGCAATGTAATAAATGATGTTGTAATTTCAGTCAACAGTGTTGCTGTAATTGTAATTATAATTTACCCAGTAGCTGATCCCGAGATGGCACGTGAGTGGTGCATCGCAGCATCCGCAGTCTCCAGCATCAACCTCTTGGGTCGCTTCTGGGAAAGTCCGCAAGCGAATTCTGTTCCCGGCCCCAAGAGTTCCGATAGCCACGGTCGATCTGATGCAGCCACAAGGCCTGTGGCCTCGGGCCACCTCCATTCCATGTGGTTCTCTTTAACTGCGGGTAGCAAGCCTCCGATTAGCACAGTTGTCTACGCATGGTGCGAAAGAAGTTCAACATACACGCCTCAGCTTAGTGCCCTGCAGTAGCCCAAGGTTAGACACCCCCCCTGCGTTTACAATTCCTGTACACTCGTATGTGTGGGTGTGTGCTATATATCAAATGTGTGTGTTAGTACACCATGGGTGTATCCTGTACACTCCTGTGTGATCCCTGTGTGTCTTGTACGCCTAATCTCTCGTCTGTGCTCCCCATACACCCCTGCTTGCCTGCCCAGGGCGTGGTGAACAAGGTGGGCAGCGCACACGTGGGCTGCCTGGTGCACGGTTGCTTTAACGCGTCCCTGGCCTGCCCGAGCGACGAGCCCGGCGCGCCGTGGCAGGGGGCGCGGCTGGTCCCCGGCGACACCGTGCGCTTCACCGTGACGCACGTCGACTCTGACTGGGCTGGTGTCCTGCTCGTGCGCGGCTCCCTCATCGGCCTCGGGTCAGCGCCGCAGGGCAGCCTCACGTTTGACCTCGCGTAGTCGCCTCTGGCGACGCCCGCGCCTCATACCACCGTCTCTTCTCCTGCACAACCGAGCCGCGTTGGGGACCGTGCTGAGCAGGCCCCCGGCGCGGCTCGGGAGGGGCCGGGTTGTTTTTCCACTGCGAGACCCAAGCCATGCCCCGCTGACGCCACGTGCGATGAATGAGTCGAGACCCACGTAGATGATGATGATGATGATGCGACGACGCCATGCTTGAGTTGTCCACCGACTGACGTCGCACGCATTGGGCCCGTCCTTAGCCCGGTCCTATGGCTACTCTTGGTCCTTGATCCGTTCTGTATTTGGATTCCTTGCGAGGCCAGTGTGTCATAGCTTTAAATAGCGAGTGGAAAACCACCCATGCTGGGAGGGTTCTGCGTTGATTTGGCTCGAATGTATCCAATGAAAATGCGTGTATGAAGGGCGCATGTGTAATTGGCCTGTTGTTGTCTCTGCAGAGTTCCCGATGAGAGTGATGCCGAGCAAGCGAATGGGGCCGTGAAACAGGAGCATCAGGAGGTTCAGGACGTCCCGGTCGAGTACACAGACTCTGCGCCGAGCGAGAAGAAGAAAGAGAAGAAAAAACGTAAGAGAGAGGTCGGGGTAACGATCAAGGTCGAGGAGACGATGGAGGTCGAGGAAGTGGTGGAGCATCGTCACAAAGAAAGAAAAAAGAAGAAATCAAAAAGGAAAGGGGAAAGTGATGGAGAAGAACCAAACTGTGACGGCGTCACCCGGCTTCCTGTGAAAGAGGAGCCTGAAGGTGAACTCTGCACGGAGATTGGCAGTGTCGAAGAAGCTTGCACGAGCCAAATCGAAGCTGCTGTTACCCCAGACCATCAAAAGAAAAAGAAGAAGAAGAAGAGGCGGCGTGACAGGGTTGAGGAGGGGAGCACGGTGCCACTGAGCGACGGATACAGCTACCTGAGCAATGACGTGGGACATGAGGCCAATGGAACTTTGACCTCTGACCCAGAAGCCCCAAAGAAGGAAAAAAAGCGTAAGAGGAGCTCCGTTGAGGAGATTTCGTTTTCAGAATCGCCACTGCCTAAATCCAAAAGAAGAAAGTGAGCTACACGGCACGGACTTCTCACGATACCAAAGACAATCGCCTCGGTGTGAGCCGTTTGCACCAGGAATGCGTTGTCTGACCCTAGCCGTGTTCATGCCTTTGCTTCGGTGACAGCCTGTGTCGAATAACCACATTTCGTTTGTTTTTGATTACCGTGGTTGAAGCTACTTTTTATTTAAATTTGAGACTGTGAGTTTGAATAAAAGTTGTAAACATTTTTTTTATAATTGGTTGGAAAACCTACGTATATATGTTTACATTAAAGTGCACAGCATCAACGGCTGTGTGTTGTAACGGCGTGCAGTGGTGTTCGATGAACAATACACACTTGTGAGCTGAGTAAGCTGTCCTTATGTGATACCCTGGCAAGTGGTTTATATGCCTGCGTAAAGTGCTCTTTTATAATTGATTTCCTACACGCTTGTTAAATCCCATGGTGTGTTTTAGGCATGTATTCTCTGAAACGAAAGGTTGTGGATTGTGTGAATATGGTTTGTTTTGAAACTGGGAGTAGGGTGCGAGTGTCGTCATTTTGTCTTGCACCTTAAATATGGACCGTATCTTGATTTGAAGCTTTCGTGACTGCAGGAATCCATATTCTTAGGTTATTTTGGTAAAGTCACGTAGGTAGAAAAATAAGAGATCACGACGTTTCGATAGCAACAGAAGCAATCGTCCTCAGGCGAAACAACACAGCAGGCGGACTGCTGAGGCAAGGTGGCGGTAGCTCTCTCGCTACATCTCCTCTTGCCTCAGCAGTCCGCCTGCTGTGTTTGTCTCACCTGAGGACGATGGCTTGTGTTGCTATCGAAACGTCGTGGTCTACGATTTTTCTACCAACGTGACTTTACCGAAAGAACCAAAGAGTATGGACCATACGGTGAAGCATTGTAACCTGCGCTCCATGACCAGAGAAGGAACACTACAAAACAACACCAGCTCTGGCCGCAAGCCCTCTCGTGGCTCGCCAGACCTCGACATTGGCATTCAGATCCTGAACATATTGCCATGCTCAAGAATAGAGTAGTACCTTCAAGCACATGCGTTGAACAGTCTGCTTTTAAATATACGGCCGTAGGATGTATACAATGTATTTCAAATATTCGTGTCAGACTCTTTCAAAGTACCATTAGCCTACGGAAATCTTTCTTGCTTTGGAACTTTACAGTAAGGGAAAAAAACTCTATGTATGTTGAACTTCTTTCGCACGGTACGTAGCCAACCATGCCTATCAGTGGTGCGGTGGAAGGACAACAAACAACACAAAAAGCAGTTTTGGAGGAATGAGTTTTCAATATACATTTAAAAGTGTGTAGCTCCAGTGGTTTCCTAATATTTGAAGGAAGAGTGTACCAGACGGCCGCAGAAGCGCATCTGAAAGCGCGCGGTGCAGTGACCATCTTGGTTTGGTGGCTAGCCAAAAGTCGCCTGCTGCGAGGATGATCAGAGTTCGCGTGATGGTTTATGCTTTCGTGATTGATGGCCGAGTGCTTCCAGCAATGGCCATGACGTTGAGCTGCATTTCTGGCCAGTGCCCGCTAGTTGCCCACTCGCCCAAGTCGCGCGAGCCGCAGTGTCGCGAATCCAGCAGGCGGCGATCTCTGCCTGCCCTCGACTTGGAGGGAAGAAGGATGTTTTGTAAACGTTGGTGGTCCAGCCGTGCCTCGTTGCGTAATCATTCGCATTTGCGGGGTGGTGACACACGGCCTCGGGCAAGGGTCGGCAACCTGCGGCTCTTTAAGGACTGCAGTGCTGCTCTTAAAATATTGAGTGTGTTTTTTTTACCGAATTCGAAACAAATGGTTCGTTTTTATTTTGGTTGCCGACCCCTGCCCATCGAAGTCCATATTCTCGGTTCTTTCGGTATAAAGTCGCGTAGATTGAAAACAAAAATCTAAATTAAAAGCAAAAAAAAACCCACGACGTCTCGATCGCAACACAAGCGGTCTTCATCAGGTGGAGAGCAAAGACGGGGCAAGCCTCCAAATGTAGCTCCTTATGAGGGCTCCAGAGTGAGTGGGCGGGGGAAAGGGCTACACTAGACAAAGGGGGAGAGAGAGGGGGAGGGGTAGAGATGGGAGGGGGGATTGCACCTCGCTACACCCATCCACACTGCTGACGGTAGAAGTTGACAAGGAAACAAATTCAAGTTTTGACCCAAAGTGGTTGATGACATCTTTCCAATTATTGCTGAGTTTACAACCTTCGTCTCGGTTTAAATTGTGTTTGTGTCTGTATATATGGATGGCTTCGTGAATAAATATTTGTTGATAGGCAGTCAGCTTGCAAAGTCCCATCGTCTTAGAGAAGTCCAGTTTACCATGGAAGACCAATTTACACCATGGGAGTCGAGTTTACCCCATGGAAGTCGAGTTTACCATGGGAGTTCAGTTTACCATGGAAGTTAATTTTACCATGGGAGTCCAGTTTATCCCATGGAAGTCCAGTTTACCATGGAAGTCCAATTTACCATGGAAGTCCAGTTCACCATGGAAGTCCAATTTACCATGGAAGTCCAGTTTACTATGGGAATCCAGTTTACCCCATGGGAGTCCAATTTAAACCATGGAAGTCCAATTTACATGGGAGTCCAGTTTACCATGGAAGTCCAGTTTACCCTATGGGAATCCAGTTTACCCCATGGGAGTCCAATTTACACCATGGGAGTCCAATTTACACCATGTAAGTCGAGTTTACCATGGGAGTTCAGTTGACATTGGAAGTCCAATTTACCATGGGAGTCCAGTTTACCATGGGAGTTCAGTTGACCATGGAAGTCAAATTTACCATGGGAGTTCAGTTTACCATGGAAGTCCAGTTTACCATGAAAGTCCTGTTTACCATGGAAGTTAAATTTACCATGGAAGTCCAATTTACCATAGGAGTGCAGTTTACCCCATAGGAGTCCAATTTATCATGGAAGTCGAGTTGACCATGGAAGTCAAGTTTACCATGGAAGTAAAATTTACCTCGGAAGTGCAGTTGACCATGGAAGTCCATACTCTTTGGGTCTTTCGGTAAAGTCAAGTAGATAGAAGAAAAATAATAATAAATCACGACGTTTCGATCGCAACACAAGCAATCGTTTTCAGGTGAAAAAATATACAGCAGGAGAACTATCTGCTGTATATTTTTTCACCTGAAGACGATTGCTCGTGTTGCGATCGAAATGTCGTGATTGTTAATTATTTTTCTATCTACGTGACTTTACCGAAAGAAAATTGATTTGGAGCTTTCGTGACTGCAGGGATTACTCCTTGGGTCTTTCCGTAAAGTAATGTAGAAAGAAAATTAAATAATAGCATACGACGTTTCAATTGCAACACAAGCAATCATCAGGTACAAATTAAAGAGAAAACAAACCTAGTATACTTAGAAATATAATGCATTACAACACAGAGAGTCGGCTAACATAACAGTCAACACCCTACCTGGTTGATTACGTTCTTCCAAAGATTGCTAAATTTGAGAGAGAGACAAAACATAGACACGGAGACACACAAGCAGAGAGAGACACACACAAGTTAGCGTGTCAATAAGAGATTTGGAGCTTTCGTGACTGCAGGAAATACTACAACACGAGGACACAGAGAGAGAGAGCGAAAACACACTTAATCAAACAAACTTAGTAAAATTTGGAAATGTAATGCAATGCAACACAGAGTCGGTCAACACAACGCATAGCCTGGTTAATTACGTTCTTCCAAAGATTGCTTAGTTAGCAGTTAAGTATGAAATTTGAGAGAGATAAAAAAAACACAGACACGGAGACACAAAGACAGACACAAGCAGAGAGAGACAAACTTAAATCCTCCCCGTAGAGGTGGTTCAAACTTGATTTGGAGCTTTCGTGACTGCAGGAATTACAATTTGGTTATTTCGGTAAAGTCACGTAGAAAGAGAAAATAAATAAATAATAGCATACGACGTTTCGATTGAAACACAAGCAATCATCATCCTTCCCTCAGAGGCGTTGTTTCTCTGTGTGCCTACAATTTATAAAATTTTTGACATGCGTTTTTCTGGATTTTTTTGTTGTTATTCTCTCTCACTGTTCAAATAAACTGACCATTAAAATTATAGACTGATCATTTCTTTGTCAGTGGGCAAACGTTCAAAATTAGCAGGGGATTAAATATTATTTTCCCTCACTGTATGTGTGTCTCTCTGTGTGTCTCTGCGTTATCTCTCTCTGCTTGTGTGTGTGCCTGTGTGTCTCCGTGTCTATATTTTGTCTCTCTCTCAAATTTAGCAATCTTTGGAAGAACGTAATCAACCAGGTAGGGTGTTGGCTGTTATGTTAGCCGACTCTCTGTGTTGTATTCCATTGTATTTCTAAGTATACTAGGTTTGTTTTCTCATTCATTCGTACCTGATGATGATTCATTGTGTTGCAATCGAAACGTCGTATGTTATTAATTTATTTTTCTTTCTACGTGACTTTACCGAAAGAACCAAAGAGTAATTTACCGAAAGACCCAAAGAGTATGAATTCCTTGCAGTCACGAAAGCCTTGTCAACATAGAAGTCCAATTTACCATGGGCAGGGGTTGGCAACGTGCGGCTGCGTAGCTCCATGCGTCTCATCAAGGAGTATTTCGCTACGTTACTTGTTACGAACCGTCCCGTATTCACCACACAGTGCATTGCGGCTCGTGAAATATTTAGTTTTTACATTTGTGTTTGACCGAATTCGAAGAAAAGCGTATTCTCTCCTTGTTATTTGTGCGTGCCGACCCGTGGCCCAGCGGGTAGCCCGTTCTCCGCATCCAAGCGTCGTCCGCCCTGGATTATTCCCCGCGGGTGCCACCACCTTGATAATGCGCCTCGTCTGCCTCCCAGTGGGATTCGATGACCCCGTGACCGCCATTCGCAAGAGAAGCCATTGTGTGCTGGCATCAGAGGTCGGAACATGCAAAAGATTGCGCGAAATTACCCGCAAATGACTCCATTGCGATTACGCACAGCAGCAATCGCCGTCACCCCCAACCCCCCAAACTACTGACAGACTAATGCCCCAGGTCGCGCTTGCAAATTAGCCTCATCGTGGTCCCTCGAGTCCTCACCTGGTGAATTAAAGTGAAATAGAAAAAAAAGTCGTGCACAGGACAGCCTCTGAGCGGGCTCAAACCGAATCGCTGGCGCGCGAGTGTAACGCCGGCAAGCGCGAACTACGGCTGCAAAACAAACTGAACACGTTGGTCAATAACTTCGGTGGGCGCGGCCCTCACCCCCCGACCCCTCAATTCCTGAGCTCTCCACCCCCCCCCCACCCACCCACCCCTCACGCCCGTGGTGCGCGCCAAGGGGCGTAGACGTGGCAGCGCCGTTGTGTCTGCGAACGCGGTGGGTGATAGATGGCATGCGGGCACGTCTCGCTCGGTGTTCCCGTGCC